AATTGCTGCGATTATAGGCGTGAGCCACTGCATGTGGCCAAATCCTTCTAATTTTCTGAGGTGGCTATTATTATTCCTCATTTTATACAGGAAAAAGTAGAGATCAGAGAGCTTAATACATTTGTCAAGGTGTACAGAGTTTGTAATAAGGAAAACCAATTCAAACCTAGGTCTGACTCCTTCCAGCGCACGTATATTGTATGTAATGTCACCTTTACGTCTTTTCCCAAATTGTGTCATCTTTTCTAAGTCAAACCTACTAACATGAGTCTTAAAATCAGCCTTTGTTGCCAAAATACTTGACAGTACATTGGTCATTTATTCTTCCCCATTCTGGGTAGAAATCAGAGTTCTCTTTTCCTAATGGAAGCCCCAGGACAGCTTATGTTTGCATGTCATATGTCCATTTGACTTTTCACCAAAACACTAGTGTTTCACACAGTCCTGACCCATCGGCTTCTCAAAGGTGGGTGTCAGTGGTGAGAGACGATGAAGCTCATCTCAGAGGCACAAACAGGGCATTTTTGAACTGACCCAAGTGCATCTGGTATTTGACACCTGTTGGATTTGGTGGCCTCTGTGATTTAGATGAAGGGGAGGGCCATAAGTTCTCTCCTCCTCAACCTCACCACCAGGTAGTTTGTTGAAACAAAAGCAGATCCCAGACTGAATTCTGTCACACATCAAATACTGACATTAGGCAGAATGTACCAAAGTAGCCATAAAACCTGTTCCTGTAAGCTGAGGAAGTCCTAACTCTCCATCCTTAAGGTATGTTGACAAGTACTTGCAGGAGAGATTTACTCAGGGACAGCAGTCTGCAAAAAGATCAGCTCCAGGGGACCAAGAAGCCTTCTTGGCAGGCTGTAAATGTTCTGTTTTTTTTTTTTTATCCAGCTGATGATGATTTGAGTATTTGCAAGCATAACATTCTGTATGTGCACTTAAGATTTGTGCCCTTTAGTATATCTGTTATTTCTCAATACAAAATAAAGTGGAAATAAATGTTTGCCCTTAAATTATTCACAGTCTGTGAGCAGGGAAATTATCATATATTGTTCAAACCCATAAACCCTTTGAATTAGAGGTTTTCCATGGAAGGGTCTCCCGGGGGGAGTGAAAGCTCTCAGGGGTCTTTCATATGCACCGTCCTGCCGAGGCCTCCTCTCTGGTGACCCCAGCCCATCCCTGTGGTATCCCCTGGAGTGGACACAGTAGTTGCCTCCATCCAAGTGACCATCTTGGCACCTGGGATACTTTAGTCTTGGGCTACTGCTGCCTTCTTTCTTTATTCTTCCCTGTTCTAGGTAGAGTCATGCATCGCTTATGATAGGAAACACTGTGAGAAATGTGACAGGCAATTTCATCTTTGTTGTGGGAACATCATAGAGTATAGCTAGCAAACCTGGATAGCAGAGCCTGCTGCACACTGGGCTATGTAGTACGGCTTACTGCTTCCAGGCTACAAACCTGTACAGCGTGATACTGTCCTGAATACTGCAGGCAGCAGTAATACAATCTAAGGACTTGTGTAATAAACATAGAGAAAGTACAGGGAATTATAATCTTATGGAACCACCAGCGTATATGTGGGCTGTCACTGACTGAAACCCTATGATGTGGTATGTGACTATATATCCTTCTCTTGGAATTTGACTTCTTTTACTTTTTAGGCCGCTTTTGGTGGCTTTAACCAAATTCCTGATGAGGCTAGGCAGGAAGGTTCTGGGGGATGAAATAGATGTATTTCCCTGGGCAACAATCCCAGACTCCACCCTGGGGCGGCGCATGGGAGGGGCTGCGGGTCCCCTCTCTTTCTTTCCCAGAAGGGGAAAGGAGACAGGGGTAAGGATCACCAGGGGGTCGTGCTGGCAGAGCCCTTAGCTCTAAGTGCCAACTTTGATAACTATTGGATTTGGCCTAGTAAGCCCTGGCTGTTGCCTCCCAGGTAAAATTTTGCAGGACAAAGAGATAAAGATGACTCGGTATCAGCTGCCTCTAGGACAGGGTTGTGGTGTTTCTGCTTTGGCCATTGTAGAATTCCTGTGACTTTCATTTATTGCTCACGTTTCTCTCCCTTTACATTGCACACACATCCCTCTCATCCCAGACTCTCGTTTAACAGAACCTCAGCCTTAAAGAAAAAACAAAAACAAAGCTTGTACACACACACACAAACCCTCTGCTACTATTCCTAATCTACTGTGGAATCTGTTGCCATAGCAGCAGGGAGCGGCTGCCCCCTCCCCTCCCCAAGCACAGACACACACTTCATCATGGGGCTCCCATCACATTTTTTATTTTTTTTCTCTTTCTCAAACAGCAACAGCCAACACTGCTTTTCCACAAACTATTAATATATCTTTATAGTACTCTCTTGGTACTTTTTAGACTGCATTTGCTTCTAACTTCAGGTACACCTAGTCATGCCCCCATAAGTAAGGCTAATTTTATGAAGAGGCTGGTGCTGGTTTGCTTTTAGTCTTACTTATTATTGGATCCAATACTAAATGAATAAAGAGATTTTGGGAGTTATCTAAAAGTAACATGGGAATTGAGCTCTATGGCTCTGGGCACCTTAATTTCATTTTCTGAGATTTTGTATTTCTTTCCTTGTTTTGATTTTAGCTTATTGCTTTAACATACTCTTTTTTATTTTTAAAGAACTAAGTGTTAATGAAGGCATAGGAAAGAGTATATGATAATTAGCCAAGTTTGATATCATAGTTAACTAGCAGGTTCCTAGACAAATATATGATACTCTTCTTTTTATAATTAGACCATGTGAACATTAATAACGGAATGGGTTGGATTTTTTTTTTTTTTTATGTTAACATGCTTAGGAAAGCTGTAGAATTTACTTGAACTTAGTGTGTTAAATAAAGTCCTGGTTTTCTGAAGCCAAAACCAAACATGTTAGTTACTCTTAACCCAAGGCTGTGGGAGAAGCCAGTGATTCTAGGCCCACATTTCTCCTCTTTGAGAACTAGAAACCCCTCCATCAGGGCAAGACTCCCAAAGAGCTGCAGGTGGCAGTCCAGCTGAGTGCTTGTAGAGGGCGCCCCCACCCCGCCCCCCTTCTCAGTCTCCTTCCCCATCACAGACACTGTGCCATCTTGGAAATGGATACTGTGCTATAGGAGGGAATGAGATTTTGCCTCTTCAGAGCTTGATACCTCCCTCCTGTTTCTTTTTAGTCCAGCTCCCCAGGTCTCTTAGGTCTCAGAGATGGAGCAACAGCTGTTATCCTCAGACCTGGTCACCAGGGAGGGATGTGTTCATTTCCAGCAACGTAGTTAAGGGGCTGGGAAAAACTAATTAAGCCTCTTGGCAGCTATGTGATTGGGCAAGTTCCCTAACCTCTTAGAGACTCAGTTTTCTTCTCCATAAAATAGTGATGATACTCCACTTCCGTCAGGCTGTTGATTAAATGAGACAATGCTTGTGGGAATCCTTACTATAGTGCTGGGCAGTAATTTGTATATACTCAATGAATGATCATCCCTTTTCTTTAAATATGCTCATAGATGATATGGAAAATTCTACTTTACCCTCCACGGTTATTTGTCATACCATGTTGTAGTTTTTAAAGATTTTTCCAAAAACCTTTGGGAGAACAAATCCTCTACCCCACTCCCAAAAAACCAGGAAGAACTTTTAAAAAGTTGTAATAAAATATACATAAAATTCACATTTTTAACCATCTTCAAATGTACAATTTAGTGACATTTAGTACATTCACAGTGTTGTACACCCATCACTGCTAGCTGGTTCCAGAACTTTCTTCTTCTTCTTTTTTTTTTCTTTTGAGTCAAGAGTTCCTCTGTCACCCAGGCTGGAGTGGAGTGGCGTGATTTTCGCTCACTGCAGCCTCCACCCACCCAGGTTCAAGCGATTCTCCTACCTCAGCCTCCTGAGTAGCTGGGATTATAGGCACCCACTACCATGCCCGGCTAATTTTTGTGTTTTTAATAGAGACAGAGTTTCGCCATGTTGGCCAGGCTGATTTCGAAATCCTGACCTCAGGTAATCCGCCCACCTCAGCCTCCCAAAGCGTTGGGATTACAGGCATGAGCCCCTGAGCCTGGCCTAGTTCCAGAACATTCTTATCACACCAAAAAGAAACTCTGTAGCCCTTAAGCAATCGCCCTACTCTCCCCCTAGTAACCACTAATTCTGGCCTTCTGTCTCTATGGATTTGCCAACTTTGGATATTTCATATGGAAACATACAATGTTTGTTTTTTTTGTGTCTGGGTTATTTGACTTAGCCTAATGTTGTCAAGGTTCGTTGATGTTATAGCATGTATCAGTACTTCATTTCTTTTAATATCTGAATAATATTCCATTGTATGTATATACCAGATTTTGTTTATCCATTCATCAGTTGATGGACATTTGGGTTCTTTCCACCTTTGACTATCATGAATAACATTGCTATGAACATGGGTCTACAACTTTTTGAGCACCTGTTTTCACTTCTTTTGGATCTATACCTAGGATTGGAATTACTGGATCATATGATAATTCTGTGTTTAAATTTTTGAGAAATAGAACAGCTACCAAACTGTTTTCCACCATGGCTGTGCCATTTTACATTTCCACCAGCAATGTCTGAGGGTTCCAATTTCTCCGCACTCTTTCCAACACTAGTTATTTCCCATTAAAAAAATTATTATTATAGCTATCACAGTGGGTGTGAACTGGTGTCTTACTGTGTTTTAAGATTTTTTTATAGTACTGATTTTGTATGTGTCTGGACTCAAATTTCTGTATCGATGTTCTTAAGCCTGCCATATTGCAAAGCTACATGAAAAACCACCTATACAAAATTCCGAACAAGAGAATGGTGTAAAACTTCTTTTCCTTCTTGGCCCCTGCTATAGCTAAACATCATGACTCTGTAATCTGTAGTATGTTTAAGCCACTTGCAGACAATTTGTGGCAAATTAGAGATGATATCTGATGCCTCTGACCTTCTTTCTAATTTCTCTTTTTTAGGTTTTAGGGTTTCCTTTGGGTCACCCGAAATGTTTTTTAAACACTTTGGATAAGAGCTAAACCACCTGCCACTGGGGACTTCCATACTCTCGGCTCCCTTATCATCTGATGGCATTTTGACTGTCTTGAGGCCAAGTGACTTGCTGTCCATGATGAGTGATGAGAAGAACCTTGGTGTGTCCCAAAAGTTGGTGTCACCTTCAAGGAGCACAAGTAGCTGCTCTTCCAAGCAAGGAAGTCGACAGGTAAAGTTTAACTCATGCAAATTTTAATATGCAAATATAAGCCATCAAGTTTGCTGGTTAAAATGCACACATTTACTTGGGAAATCCTACTTCTCAGTTTAAGAGCATTTACTTTTGGTTATCTCTTGACCGTGTGAGGAGAGTAAATTCTGTATAATTTTAATAATGTGTGCCTACTAGGTGGGAAGAACTGCATTTGGTTCTTCATATAATTTTGTTTAATTCTTGCAACTGTCCTCCAGTGTAGATATTAACATCTCCATTTTCCCCATGAGGAAGCTGACTCAGACTGACCAGGTTACTTGCCCAAGGACACACAGCTAGTAAGGAGCAAAGAAAGAACCAAAGCTCAGTCTGTTTGGCTTCAGAGCCCACACTTTGCTTTATATCCTGCTAAGCAAAACAAAAAAACCATCCATCATTTTTCAAGTAATTAAAATATCCACCCCAACTTTCTTCCCTTCATCACACCTTTTGTGGCAGCTTGTAACCACAGATTGCCCTGCCAGTAGCTTCGAGTCTCACTTGCTTTAATATCTGTAATGGATGAGGGAACCTAATCTACAGAAAAATTGTCCAAAGGAATTAAGTAGGAGGAAGAAAGAATTGAAACAAAGGACTGAATAATTAACTCCTAAATAACTGTCGGGTAATTATATATTGTTTCTTGGTTTCCTTTCTAATGAATCTTTGTTGGCAGAATTTGCTGGTTTTAGATCAGTGGCAGTAAATGCACATTAATCATTATAATTCTTCCCCCAGCAGTTAGGTGGTGAGAGAATGAGCTGTCAGAAAGCTGAATTTATGACCGAAGTGGTCTGTGAGCCTTTTCAGCACCTGCTGGCTCTGTTGGCATTTCCTTTTCCTCATGGGAAGTGCTGGCCTGAGAAATCACCCAGAGTCTTTGGTTCCAGAATTGGAAGCAGCAATTAAATAACTCCCACCTCAGTCACATCTACACATTTGGGGTCTCTCAGACTGAGCATTGCCTGGGATAAGGAGCTTTGCCACCCATGAATCTGTGATGCCAGGAAAATTAGATTTTGCCACAGGTCTGACATTTGGGAAGCCTTCCAGGATCTCCCCTGAGGGGTTAAGAAGGAGAATTTTGTCAGCACTGTCATCGGTTCCTTCTGGGACTAAAAAAAAAAAAAAGAAAAGACTAAAATTAGTCATTGGCTAATGCATCTTGGCTCCCTGGAGTTCTGTTTCATGAGGTTCACTGTGCTTGTCCTCTTTGTCAGCTTTCCACAGGAGTATTTTTCTCCCTAAGCCAAAACTCTGGTTGGGGTTAAAACAGCATGTGGTATATCCCCTACCTGTGCCATCTTCCTTACACCCAGGGATTGTTATGTCCTTCTTTGATAAAGGGGGAGAACATGATTCCTTTAAGTAGCAGGTGGTGATTACACCATAGGAATTGGAACAGTACAATGAAATTCTCAGATCAAATACTGCGGAAACTTTTTTCAGTGTGTTATTTGGAATTGACTGGGTTTTCACAAAGCTTTTTTGGAAGTTACATCATAAAGGGTAAGAGGAATGTGCTTCATGCCTCAACTTTTTTCTGACTTGGAATGCTTGGTCAATCAGTCAGTCATTCATCAAATGGTCATCTTTTATATTTAGGGTCTCCTGCTTTAATATGCATATAATGTGGCTTTATAAATGGAGACACTTCTCTTTCCTCTGTGGCAGAGAAGGTGGAGAATTTAATAAGTTTATTTCAACTTCAGCCTGTGGTTATAAAGCCCGTGTTTTATTTCCAGAGGTCATTTTCTTAGTCCATCTGCTTTCTCATCCTTCTGTCGAAGAAAGGTGTTCTGTCCCAGGATATGCTTAGTGTTTCCATCCATGTGGTCCACGTTGGCCCCCCATACCCACTCTGCCTTCGCAAACTGGCCCAAGATTGTGCTTCAGTCTTTAAAGGTGCTACAGAGGTGCAGGAACCTTTGAAGCTCTCCTCCCTTAGGGCACACAGCCATCTCCGATGGTCTGTCGGTTGCTAAATATAAGGATGACACTGTGTTTCCAGTCACGTCACTGAAGAGTACCAGTTAAACACTTAAAACTTCAAGATTTACATAGTAAGAAATTTAATTAGAGGAATAAGAAATATAACTAAAGATAATCTGTGCAAATACCTACTTGTATTTCAAACACTAGTTTAAAGTCATTTTCAAATTGCTCTCTTCGTTTCATCTTAAGGGGATACATCTGATGTTGATTTTATTGGTCATTTTTCTTAGTGCTAGTTTTTCTCATGTGCTTTGGAATTGCAGTTTAGAGCTTCATCTAGAGATTGCTTCCCATGTATTCTTTCTCTGCGCTCACCCTGATCCATCTAGGGATTTGCTATTGCCAACTTTCCACCTCTCAGGACCCCAGTGCAGAGTCAAGTCTAATATTTGCAGCAAGGGCCTGCTGTTCCATGATGATGATGGAATACCTGGGACCCAGCACCAAGCCCCAGACAGCATAGCCCAGTGCCTGGCTGTGAGGCTATGTCTCCCTCCTCACCTCTCCCTGGGCAAGCAGATTTTTAAAGCTCTCTTTCATTGTGGTGTGGGGGCTTCCCCCTCCACAGTTTCAGATTTCCAGCAGCGAGCCTGGCTCAAGTCCCAGCCTTTTCCTGATGACATTTTTCACCCCATTAGCCCACAGAAACAGGCTAATGGACACCTCTGTCTACAGTATACTTTACATTTCTGTTTGGTTCTGATCCATGGAGATACTTAATCTTTTTTTGCCACATTATTCTTTTTTTTCAGGTTTGTTGAGGTAATAAATGACAAATGAAAGTTGTATATATTTATGGTGTATAATGTGATGTTTTGATACATGTACGCATTCGGAAGTGATTACCCATTATCAAGCTAATTAACATACCCATCACCCCCCATAGTTATTTTTGTGTATATGTGTGGTAAGAACATTTAAGATCTACTCTTATAGCCAATTTCAAGTAAATAATGCAGTATTATTAACTATAGTTGCCATGGTGTTACATTAGATCCCCAGAACTTACCATTCTATCATCTGTTTCTATAAGTTTGACTTTTTTAGATTCCACATGTAAGTGAAATCATGCAGTATTTTTCTTTCTGTGCTTGGTTTATTTCACTTAGCATAATGTCCTCCGGGTTCATCCATGTGATTGCAAATGACAAGATTTCTTTCTTTTTTAAGGCTGAATAGTAGTCCACTGCATAAGTATATGTACCACATCTTCTTTGGAAATATTTAATCTTGTTTTTTATCGCACAGACAAAAAAGAGCCCTACGTGTTTATAACTTTGTATATTTTTGCCATATTTGGAGTGAGGGTGGCATTTTGTATGTTTTTGCCGTACTTGGAGAGTGGCGATAGGGAAGGGGCACTAAATGCATGAACTTAAAACACCATCTTAGCTGGAAGACATGGTTTTTTAAAGTCATTTTTACTTAAATTCTCATCCAGTATTGCCAGGTGACCTTGAGAGTCTCTGTACTCCAGCCACACTAGCTTTCTTTCTCTTTCTGGAGCTGAATTTTCTCTTGTCCTTGTTTCTTGAACTGAGCTTAAACTTGAACCTGGTCTTCCTATCTCAGACCTATTCATATAAAATCTCATGGAGCTATGTGTTTATGTATTGATACTCTCCTACCTATATATCTATGTTGAAAGAGCTTGCTTCCTTGAAGGAGAAAATGATTGAGACCTAGGTGTTTTCATTTTTACATCTGACCTAAGACAAAATGTACAACTTAGGGCCATAAAAACCCTAGGAGGAGGGTTCTGTCATCTTTTAACTTAAACGTTGGGGCTCCTGAGATTTTAAAAACAGTAAGCCTCACTTTGCCAGTACGAAAACAACCTGTCAATAAAATCTCTTCAAGATAATTTGAGGAGAAAGGTATGCATAGTGATTAGAACATTAACTCTCCAATCTTGGGTCTATCCATTAATTGGTTCTATGACCTTAAACTCTTCAAGCCTCAGTTTTTTCATCAATAAAATTGGAATAATAATAGTTCTTTTCTCATAGCATTGTGGTAAGGATGAAAAATAAGTACTTATTCCAGGGTCAGACTCAGAATAGGTGCTGAGTAAATGTAAACGTACGTTTTTATCATTATAGTTAACATTAATTTGACCTTCATTCTTATTTGTGAAAGTCCTAAATGCTCATAGTGAATAGTTCTAGCTTTTTTTCTCCCAGGAACTTTTACAGGATCATACATGTATCCACTCATACCTTTTTAGTGTTATACAAAAGCCCACTAAAATATACACTGTACATGTGAATATATACTTTTAAAATAAAAAGTGCCTTACTCCACGCATTAACAAAATGCTTTTGTGAAGAATACAATAGAATGTTTAATAATTGGGCTACATTTGACATCTTTAGGCATAACCTATACCTAAAACAAGTGAAAACAGCTGATGAATTCTTACCGCATTCTGCTAAGCCGTGCCCTTGCTTGGGTCGTAAGTGATTTTCCCCTCTCGCCCCCTATGCCAGCGTCTATCTCTTGGTAGTAGCTGCACAGAGCATTGTGTTAAGAAGGACTTTGCAGCTGAGTCTGCATTCAGGGGAAAGATTACCATATTTTTAGCTGTGACTTCTGGGCATAAGGCAGGGAGAGCACAGCATGGGCCCTGTGTTTGTCACCCCTTAGTGACAGAGAAGAGTTGAAATCAAGAGCTCTCTGTTGCAATCTTTATAATGTGTTATTGGATGAACTTCAGGTAACCGTAGGTTGTCTCAGTTCTCCATTCATAAAAAGGAGGAAAAACTCTCCTCCCGCCTTTTCCCCTGGAATGCAGTAAGAGAACATTGAGTGTTTTCAGTGGCTAAAAGACATTGAAAGTCTTTGGAGAAAAGTCCTCTGTAAATTCAAGAAACTGGTATAATTACAGATAAGCTGTCTTTACTTTGGCCAGTTCTGGAAGCAGAACTCACATGACCTTGTTTTAAGAACCCTGACACTCTGCAGAATTGGTTCTTTTTGAA